TGGACTTATTATTAATGAACAAATGCTCATTAATGAACCAATGGTTAAACCCGCTGTAAGAGTTACTGTTTTAAATGTATTTTTATTCAAAACTCAAGATCTTCTTGTGTATTGGCGGATAGTTGATTCAATGGTACGATGCGTGCTAATCACAGACACTTTAAAACATGTTCAATCATTCAGACGATAAAATCACATGCTCTTGCGCATTGAACGTATTAGTGATTTGATACATGTAATGCACGCTCTTATTTAGCATACATCTCTACTGACGAGATGCAATGCTCTTCATGTGAACAGCTTGGTCATTTCTGAAAAAAACCTGTCCATGTACCAATAAAGCAAAAACTCATGAAAAGACTACAAGTAGCAACAGAATTATAAGTAAAAGAATTGAACGATACTGAATATGCTGGTAATACTTCCTTCATATATAACGTACTTAAGATGATGTGCATAACGAAACAGATAATATTGAAACTAATGAAACCGAGCACACTGAAATATGGAAGCAAATGAAACTCTGAATATTGGAACTAATATAATTGTAAACACTAAAATTGACCAAATAGACGCTAATGAAACTGTGAATAATGATACTGAAAACATAAACACTGATAACGTTAGTGACTATATTGATCCATTTGATAAAAATGAATATCTTGATATGAATGAAGTGAGGGTACGATCCCCTCTTTCAAAAAATTAAAAACCTCACAACCACCCTCTCTAAATAAGAGCTTAATACTACCGAAACTGTTGCTGATACTGACAGTGACCAGGATAGTGAAGATGAGCAATGTGGTGATATAGAGTTCGAGTTTATTTTCTCGAAAATATCTGATTTGCAATACACTCACGAACACGAAAAATTACACTTCGTCACACTTTTGGACGACATAAAAAGGTCTAAAAACCGTGGAGCGTTGTCTAGATTTTTGCTCAGATGCCCGTCTTTTAAAAAACAAAAACTGACCAATCTGGTAACAGAAATCCCGAACTCATAAAATACTCAAGTACAGAACCATCTAAAAAGTCGTAACTTATAAAACCCAAACAATAAGGGACAACATCAAAAGGTCAATGTAGGATAAAAAACTTAATTCCTTTAGTCCCCCCTCCCCACCCCGAAACTGAGTTGATAAATATTGATCATGGCGTGAGACTACATTCACCATAAATTCAAATTGATAATCGGACAGTAGTATGGCATAGCAGTTGTTACTATGTCCATGCCCTGAAATTGACCTCATTTGACGCACATATTCACACTCGGATCAGACCATTTTCTTGCCTTGGATGTTTTTTTCTTTTTCTGTTATGATTGGATAGAAAAAAACGAACTACAAATACTACAAATTGTTTTGACTTCATTAAAAAATAAAATCGTTTTTGTAGGTTAAACAAATTTTGAGGTCAACCCATCCCACCCCAAACTAAAGCAGATAAGTTTTTTTATCCGACATCGATCTTTTGACGTCGTCTCTAATGTACTGCACTTTGTTGCTACATCTTATAACGTCTTTCTCCCATACTTTATGGAATGACGATAACTGTTGTGACCATTTTGACATCTCGATTTTTTTAAACCCTTTTACAGCGGGCGCAAGATATTAACATACACCTAACTCCCGACCGCGGTAGGCAATTACCGAGGGACTTCGAAACATCACCAGACACTTTCCTAGACACTCCAATGATCGGTGTAGACACAATAAAGTTACATACACGTCTAATCAAAACACCGGACGCGGTATGCCTCTGATGTGTGGCAACGAGGAACAAGGGGTAGTTGCTTTGTAGGTACAAAAATCATTGCTGTGTAACACATGGTAGAAATATAGTACGACCATGAATCTGGGAATGAATATTAACAAGATGTGATAAATGCAAATTCTTTTGATTGGTAGTTTGTTGAGATGTTGTCAATGGATTTATATTAATGATATTAGCGTTGTGAGTGTTCTGTTAAATTTTTCGCATAATGGCTTGTCCTATTGCCAGTTTGCTAGACTACTCATTGCCCAGTCACTCTTTCTCTGAAATCTTCTACTTAGTATCACTTCCACACCGTCACCATTTACCAGTTTCAAATATCCTTCCGATCTCAGACAAAATTCAATAAACTCAACAATTTCTTGTGTAACATTCAGCCGACGACGGCCGCTATTCCTCTACGCATAAGGCGAGTAATCTCCATCTTAGTGTCTTCGTCTAAACGCTTTGACATAATAGCAATAATTGTTCAAAATCAAATACTGCTTTCAAAACTAAACTGTTCTCACGAGGGTAATTTCATTATATGTTAGAGGCGTTTTAGATATTTGTATCAACTGGGTTTATTATTTTCGCGAAACGTTCAAAATAGAATTTATTAAATGAACAAGCATGATGTATGCATGAAGTAATAAAGTTTCCGATATCAACATTAATGAGTAAAACATGATTGTTTGATGAATGTTTGACTGGACGCTTTACACGTTGTAATAGTTGAACGCATCTGAAACCCTGGACCGTTGTTTTGATTAACTGTCACGTAGGCGTGTATGTAACTTTATTGTGTCTACAACGATCACTGGAGTGTCTAGGAAAGTGTCTGGGGATGTTGCAAAGTCCCTCCGTAATTACCTGCCGCGTGCGGGAGTTAGGTATATATGTCTTTACACCCTCTAAATACAATTTCCCGTAAAAGTCCTAAAATAACCTGTGGTTTATATTACAATTAATTTAATATCAATTTAAAAATTGGGTTCAGAAAGCTCAAGTTCGGGGTGCGGTTTATATTACGTATATATTGCAATCACTAAATGGGCGTGGTCATTTTTTCCCAAAACACATGCACAAAACTAACTAGTACTATAAATAGTGGTCTACGGTATATCTCTTTTTGGAGGATGTGATGGCTTGAAAAGGGCTGTTTTGTTATATTTTTAGGAAAAGGTAACTCTCCATTGCTGTCACTGTCGAATAAATTGGCGATTTCCTCGCAAAGTCTCCGGTTTTTCGTAAACAGCGTCTTCTGTTCTGTCCAGTGCATTCATAATTCCCGGGTTCATAAAAGAACGTCGCACAGTTGTTGGCGACAATTTATTCCAGGCCCTGTCGACCCACTGCACAACTAGATCTCAACTCAGGCATTTTCTCTTTCCAGGTGGTGTGAATTCGGCAACTCCTTCTTCCATCCAGTTATCCCATAGACTGTGTATTGTCTAATTTACGGGTTTGTTCATGCCAACGTCGGGAAGCTGAAGAATTGGTGTGAGACCGCCCGGTAGTGCCTCTTTTACTTCGCGATCAGATGCACTGAGCATAAAT